CCCCACCTGCACCTGCCAGGTAGGCCCCCGGGTGGCCGGGGTCAGGGCCACCCGCCTGCACGCGAGGCCGCGTCCCAGACCCTCCTGCACCCGCAGCACCGCGAGGCCTGCGTTTTGGACGAATGCACAGAGGGGGGGGAGTCAGGCCAGGCCTCCCAGGGCGCCCCCTGAAGCCAGGGCCCCTAGAAATAGCCCCCAGGTCCAGGGCCGAGGGTAGGAGGCGGCAGGTTGCGCGCAGGGTCTGGGGACTTGTCCTAACTCTCCAGCTGACAGGTCCTTTGACCTGCGCTTTGCAGCCCGAGAGGCCTCGAGCTAGGCCAGGGGGTCAGGGCGGGTCCGCCTGAGGCCGCTGAGGGTCGCGCACCCCTCACACCCCTTCTCTCTGTTCTGTTCCCTCCACCCAGGACCCTCGGAGAAGACGCGGGGGAAGAGTCCCATGGAGACCCTTCCGAGGGCTGTCCAGGGCTGGGCACCTGCACAGACACCTTCTGGGGGCACCACCCCTGGCGCCCGGCCACCCAGTCTGTCACCCAGGCGGGTTGCTTCCAGCTTGGTTCTCACAAAAAGGTAGGAGGACAGGAAACCGAACGTGGTGTGAAAAGTGAGTCATGACAAGTCCAAGTCAGAACGAGGGGACTCAGGAGTTCAGTACAGAATTTAGGCTCAAGGGCCTACAAGGAAACCCGGTCCCACCCGGCTTAAATGTTCTTGCCAAAGGCGGGTGTTGCTCGGGCAACACAAACAGGTATGTTGTATGACCAGGGACCTCACGGTCCACCACGGGGACAGGACATAATGCGGAGGGGAAAAAATGTATATACTTTTAGCATAACCTGGCTCCGGGTGAGACGCCTCACTTCGGTTTCTCGGTTCCTGCATTTGCAGAACGGGAATGATTACTCGTCGGTCACATGGACGGCGTGAGTTTCAAGTTTAGGGGGGCTACAGGTTCTGTCTGACCTCTTCAGAAATTATTCTGTGGATTTCGGTTTCGCAATTAGGCAAACCGTGTACCACATACATTTCCCTCCCCCCACCCCGCAAATAAAACTTGTCTCTACCCAAGGAGTTACCATACAGCAAAACCTTAAAAAACAAATTCTGTGAACTGAAAACCACTTCTGCTCCAAGGGTTACTAAATGCCTAGAACTTCTCCTTTCACTATAATGAATTCTTCTCCATGAAAAAGGAACCCTGCCCGGACGCCCACAGGAGGAGTTTTTAATTTGCGGTGTGGGAATATTAACATACGCGCTTTCCCCAGTCATTTGTTGGGATATGAGCGACAGCTGTACCCCTGCATAATATAAAATTATTGTCTGTGTTTTTTTCAATTTACTTTAAGTATATGAAGGGAAAATACTGCATATGCACACACCAAGCAAATCTTTTTAAACCCGCTTTTTTTTCTTTTTTTTTTTAATTCTTACCTGAGGATATTTTTTCCATTGCTTTTCAGAGAGAGTGGAAGGGAAAGAGAGAGAGAGAGAGGGAGGGAGAGAAACCTCGATGTGAGAGAGACACATTCAGTGGCTGCCTCCCGCACAGGCCCTGACCAGGGCCGGGGACCGAGCCTGCAACCGAGGTAGGGACACCCTAACCGCCGGGCCAAACCGGCGAGGGCCAAACCAGCTTTTGAGATGACCATAATCAAGAGACCCATTTATCTATCCTGATATTCCTAAGACAAAAGGGATACAAACACACATGCACATAATTTGCATGATTTGTTGAAAGTTACTGGAAAAAGGGAATTTTGTAGACACTGATCTTGGCGATACGTTTATTTAAACCAGTGGCATGGCTTCAGCGATGCTCGTTTCATACAGAACTTCTAACGTGATTAATGAGGAGTCAGAAGACGGCACACCTCCGTATTGGTATTAGACCTTCCCGAGACCCTGTTTCAGCAATGGTGTTTCCTTCTTGACAGCTGACACACTCGTCGGGACCACAGTAGTCCCAGAACATGGACTACACTGTTGGCAAGGCCTACAGGCAATTAACCTTTTTTAAATGTTTTGGGCTTTTGATCTTTTTGTGTGTGTTTGTAGAGAATATATATTCTGCAGCTCTTGGGTGAGATGTTCTAAAAATATGACCTGGATCAAGTGTCCTGATCGGGTGGTGGACTTCTTTCTATTGCTGACTTCGCCGGACACAATTCAATTAGTGGGAGAGATGAGTTAAAATGTCCCAATTATGAGGCTGGGTTTGTCCATCTCAACTTTTCATTCCGTCCACTTTTGCTTTATATAGTCCGGGGCTGCGTTATAACACACAGACCAGTTTATCACTGTTCTGTCTGCCTGGTAGATGTACCACTAGGTTGTGACTTGACCTCTAGGAGTACTTTTGTCTTCGCATTTAAACAGGCTTCTCCTGATTAGTAGTTGCCTAGTATTCGAATATCTCTTTTCATGTTAGCACTTCCTAAGTTATTGTGTTTAGATTTATCTACCAAACATTAAGTTTGACTTTGAATCTCATCTGGTAACCGTGGACTCTTAGATAATTTAGGCCTTTGCGTGCATTAGAGTTGCTGGTACATTTGAATTTATTTCATGGGTGGTCGTCGGCACGTATCCAAGTCAGGCGTTTCCCAGCACCTGACTCTGCATCGCCCGTTACTGTTCTTAAGTGAAATGTATTATTGGTATCGCCACCTTTATCTGTTACGGAAGAAATACTCTTTATAGAAAGTACCTAACAGGTCAAAGTTTCTGAAGTCCTTAGAAAGCCATCTTGAAAATATTTTAGCAGCACGTGCCTTTTAGTGTCAACCGAGGTAGCACCATCGTGGATTTTCATCTAAAGGTAAGGTCTCCTTCAAAATGACAGAGAGGACTTTTTAAATGGAGAAGGTTTGGTTTGATTCTAGGTCAGGGCACAGGCCCGGGTTGTGGGCTCGATCCCCAGTAGGGGGCGTGCAGGAGGCAGCTGATCAATGTTTCCCTCTCACCTTGATGTTCCTCTCTCTCCCCCTCTCCCTTCCTCTCTCTCTAAAAATCAATAAAACCTTTTCAAAAAGTAGTCTTCCAATTTGGAGACAGAAGAGCCAAGATCACTCTTAACATCTTTATTACCAGATCTGAATACATCCAAATATTTATAAAATTCAAGTGGGAAAATACCTGTTTCTTTTGCTGCTAAACTTTTAGTGAAAAAAATAGCAAAATTCTCTAAGACAATACAGCAAAGATATCCTGTCCCCCAACCACCACCACCTTTATAGGTGATTTGCCCCAAATTATAGAATCAAAGCTCTTACCTCTGAGCAGCTTCCCCTGGCTCACCTTTCTCTTGGTCCCACAATCTGCCAGACATTGGAAAACTTAAAACAGTCCTTGGAATTAAGAAAAAAGACCAGAAGCCGAGTACTACCAAGTGAAGCCCAGTTGTCTTCAGGGACTCTCTCAGGAGCCTCCCCTGGTCCCCTCGAAACAGGGCGGAGTGTGCGTCACCCTGTGTCACTGCCTGGGAAAGAATCTCCTAACCCCACCCACCAGATCCTCCTGACAATAAAAAACATCTCCATTGAATGGCAACTCTGCTCACACCCATTCAGTCCTCTCAGGAGGGTGAGTCATCACATCCAATTAGCAGTGACCTTGGGATGTCCCGGAGGGAAACATCAGAGCATCTAATGGAACATCCGCAGTCCAGCTGAATCAGTAACCCGTCTGAGCAACCCGACGCCCGAGAGAAATTGCCAAGCCACATCCCGGTGTGCCGAGTGCTACATTCCTAAAATACAGGACAATACTTATGTCCTTGAATCCAATCGACTCGAGTTTGGAAACGGCGCTACCTAACAGCCAATCAACTCAGTCAAATAAATACCAGGCCCAAAGGTATAATCCCACAGCAGGAGGTGCTCGGAAGGGTAAACAGAGACCTGGAGTTCCGCAGTGTCTGACCGAACCCCCCCTTACGACTGCAAAACGGGCTGAGTTAAATAAGCAAGTACTACACGTTCTCCTGGGCTTCCAAAGTGGGGACGTCCTCTCTTCTCTGCCCTTGTTTCTGGTGTCACAGACCCAGGACGCCGGCAAGGGTCTGGCGAGGTCACCTCTGCGTGTCACCTTCTCTGGGAAGGACAGAGCAGCGCCGGGAAGGTGGTCAAGGTAGGAATTGTTTCCCTGGTGGAGAGGACTCGGTGGCCCCACCCGTCTGCCTTCGCTGCGCACAACCCCAAGTGTTGTCCTTGGGCCTCCAGAGTCTGCTGGTGGGAAGAGCCACTGGTTTCCCTCGATGATTTTCAACATAAACACGTTGTCCTGCCCTTTGAAATAAGTAGGCGTGAGCCCTTAAGTTACGTAGGCAGGAGCTCACGGGGAGAGGCCCACTCGTGCAGGTAGGAGGCCGGTTTTCAATCAAGCGGCCTGCTACTGAGTTAGAAACCGCTGGCCCCGGCAAGCCAGCTGGCAAAAACGACTTCCAGTCTGTGAAAGCATAAAGAAATAAAGTCTTAACGTTTGACTCACTCCGTCGTTTCACGCTCGAAGGCCTCAGGTACGTACCAGAAAGACCGGCCTCACCACACTGGCGTGTAGCCCTTTTACAGCTGCGATGGTGTCAAGCGCTTTACGATCCCATTTTATTAGCTGGGTCTCGGCAGGCCCGGGATGTATGGATTAGTAGGTAGAACAGATACCGTACCTGGCGAAGCAGGAAGCTGACTCTCTAGGGACATCTTATTGCAAGAATGCACGTGGAAGAACGCACCTTCTCCTGTTAGCCAAGACGCCCCAGGAAACAGGGTCCGCCTGCGGAATTCTACTGAGAGAGGAAAAGCCGTTTACTTCCTAAAGTCCGTGTCTTCTCTCTCTCGCTCAACAAATATGAGCTAGACTCAAGCAGGTCTCTCTTTCAATTCAAAATTATTTATTGCCCTCTGGCATCTCTGTCACAGATGTGTTTAAATATCCAAATTACAATAGCGTTCAATATTTTTGGAGCCATCCCTTTCTTTAAATTCCTTTGTCCAAGTGGGATAAACGAAAACATTGACATATAACAAACTAAAAGGCGTTGTTATATGAAACTGAAAGAAACTAAAGGACTTGTTATCACTCCCTCGTTTTACAGACAATGAAAGCTCACACTGAAAGAGACTTTCTCGGTGTAATTAGCCCGCTGTCAAACTGTGTCTTCAGGGAAAATCTAGGTCTGGAAACTGGATTTTCTGGTTCTAAAAAGGCAAAACCGAAGTACAGTTCTCTGTGCACATTCGCAAAAATTGAAAGTAGACCTTGTACGATGCTCCTCTGTCCGTTTACTTTGTTACTTTACTTACTGTGTCTTTGTGGGATAAGCCTCCATTCAACATATAATTTTTAACCCATTACATTAAAATTACATATTAGGGGAAAATTATGTACTAATAGGAAAGATGGATACCTGGGGGGGGAAAGAGGCCAATGGAGATAAGTTGTGTAAGCAGATCTTCCTGGACCCTCAGCCAGCAGAGCACAGGATTTCACTAGGTAAAGCCCAGACTAAATAAGGAAATAGACTAAATAAGCAAAAATTAAGCAGTGAATTCCCTAAACTCCTACCACCTACCCAGCACTCTAAATTTCACAACCATTTTTCATCTACTCCCCACGAGCCTCGTCAGTCCCTCGGAGCATCCTCAGCACACCTGTTCCAGGCACAGGACACAAAGACTCCGATTAAGTCCCAAACAATAGTGCCACCTGTCACTGTCCTGACATCATCTCTTCTCCAGTAGCATTAGCCCAGGACTTGCAGCCTGGTACTTGCGGTGAGAGTCCTGCCTTCCTGGGCCTCTAACACAGGATGCCAGCAGCGCCCTGGGCTCCGGCAGGGGCCCACCCATCTGGAGACCCTCCCCTCCCTCCTACCGGTCCTTGGAGGCCCAGCTCAGGTCCCGCCTCCTCCATCAAAGTGCCTTCCCCTGGCTTCAGTCCACAACAGTGTCTCTCCTTTGGGTTTCGGTGGTGTGTTTAGCCAGTTCCCAGCTGGTTAATATTTAACTGCTCTTTGCTATTTTCACATTTAATAATTTAAGCACTTCCAACCATAAAGTACCTAAGGGCAAGAACTAGAATCGCCGCTCTTTGTACGTGCGTGCGCCCTCCGTGATATCCCACGATTTGGGGGCCGTTTGGTTTTCAGTACTTTATTGATTGATGCACACAGTGAGGGGACCACCTCCAGATAAAGGCGGGGAGGTGAACTGTCTGTTACTGGGATCCTGGAAGCCCTCAGGTCTGGATTTTACTATTTTCAGGATGGGCTCCTCTGTAAAACGTTATGGTTTCCATAAGATTTTGATGGAGAAAACATGTTTGGCTCCATATATAAAATCAAGCTCGAAAGAGGAAATGAAAAGTATAGCTAAAATTCATATTAACCGGACAAGAAGGTTTATGTGAAAACATGTCAATCGCTTAGCATGTGAGTGCTTAAGAAATTCCTCTAATAATCGGAGGAAGGGCGGGAGAGGGGCGGAGCTCCCCTCAGCAAATGACAACCCCCCCCAGGAGGTCCTGTAGCTCCCGGACTCTTCTGCTCGCCCCCCAGTGCTATCAAGCTTACTTACTATTTCATTCATTCATCTATTCAACCAACACTTCCAGCGTTTGCTTTCCTAGTTTCCGGTACGTAAAGACTTATTGAAGTGCGTAGACTTAGCGTTTGTTTGCAGAGAACAGTTCAGTTTGCTTTGAAAATCTGTCTCCTGCCTCTGCGTCGGGCACGGCGCGAGCTCTCGGACGTGGTAAACCACCTCTGACCGTCTGGGAGCAGAGCAGTGGTCCGCCCTGACTTCTCAACGCGTGTGCCAGGGCAGGGGGGACACCGCCTTGACTTCGGTCGCCCCATCCCTCTTTTTCACCCGACGGCACGGCACGGCTGGAGGGGAAAACATTAAAAGGAGAGGCTTCTTGTTGGCGGGCTGACTCACACTGAGCCCCTTCAAGGCCTCAGGCTGGTCAGTGGGGACGTGGGGACAGGTCCTTCCTCTTTCCGAAGCCCCACCTCCCAGGCGCTTCGTCTGAGTCAGCGGCGCGGTGCGGCCCTCCCGCCTCTCCTGGCTGCGAGACGAGACCGCGATGCCGGCATTTCCTCCAGCAGCTCCTGACCATCGCTCACGCCCCCGGGTGGTCTAGAGGGCGAAGTCCTTCATCCCTAAGGGAGCAGCTCATCCCAGCTCCCCCAGTCAGGAAGGCCAAAAAAAAACCAAAAAAACAGCAAATCGAGAAATGTCTGATTTTTAGAGCGAGGTAAATATTACAGGATAAAACAGCTCAACAGGAGGTGCAACAGATAACTCTCCTGCCCGGCCCAGCCGGTGCGGGTCAGCTGGCTGAGGGCCGTCTCATGCACTGAGAGGTCACGGGTTCGATCCCCGGTCAGGGCACATGCCGGGGTCGGGGGCTCCATCCCCAGTAGGGGGCGTGCAGGAGGCAGCCGACGGACGTTTCCATCTCATCCATGTTTCTCTCTCTCTCCCTCTCCCTTCCTTTCTCTCTGAAAGTCAATAAAACGACATATTTAAAAAAACAAAACAAAAACCTATCCTACCCTGAACAGTTTCAGCAACTTGAGCCGCGCCGTGTGGTGAGGGGACAGGACCAACGACCGGGGCTGTCAGCACTCGGGGGAGAGACTGGAGAGAGCGCTGACCATCAGAAGAGGGGCCCAGGCTGCTCCGGGCGCCTCACAGGCCAAGAGGCAGGGTGATCAACACCCGGCTCCCCCTCCGGCCTCCCGTAAGGGGTTCCCATCGGAAAGCCAGAGGACAGAGGCGCTTGTGGACCTGAACCACTGAGGCCGAGCCTCCCAGAGCCTCCCAGACAGCAGGGTGGGGAAGGGCGAGCGGTGTGTGCAAAGGGTTCAGGGTCCTGGTAACTGGCTGCAGCTACTAAGAGGCCTCCACGGCGCGGGGCTGACGCGTCTCAGTACAGAGCTGGTCTAGCCGGGCCGAGCGTCTCTACACGGGAAGGGTCCCGGGGGTACCCAGGCAGGGGTGGGTGTGCGCGAATCCGAGTGTGGGTCTTCGGTTCCCACTGAAATTGTGAAAATGTTTATCGCCCACCCCGAAAAGTAGGAAGTGGGTTGCGGGAGGACCTGTCGTTGTCATCAGGTGTCCCGGGTTAGCAGCCAGCAGCCCAGCTACTGAGGGCCCCTGGGGGTGGGGGTGGGAACTCGTCCAGAAGGACGTGGGAGCGGCGACTCTGGCCGGGGGACATTTAGACGGTGAACACTGAGCCTGCGAGGACCATTCAAGGGTGTCGTTGAGATGCTTTGCTAACCGGAAAACCCATCGAAGACCCTTGGGGCATTAGCTCCTGTCTGGTGAGGGGACTCCTTGCCGACGGAGGTGACAAACCACACAGAGGAAACCACACCTCAGCCCGCCCACCAACACGGGTGCCTCCGTTCCCTAGCAACTTGCCCCAGTAACGGGGAAATTAATATTTTTTTTTTAAC